CCGGTCGTAAAGCTGCTTTTACATGAGGCGATTTTTTGACTGGCGATAATCGCCTGCAAAAGTTGACTTGCTGTCTACTTTGAGGCAAGCGATTTTTGAATCACCATTTACACGAGCGTTTTTTCTGGAGCAATGTTGAATCGGCTAGAAAATCGCCTCATGTAAATCCAGCTTAAGCATAAGCATTCAGATTATCTATCAAATACATTTGTATGTACATACATACATACATAGATACAAACTAACTATGTAGTTTGCAGTCATTATGAATGTGGTCTAGAATGAGCTATCACAAATTACCAATGAGCAATTTCAAATATGATAGACTACAAGCGGTCAAAAGCCACAGTTTTTCCGCAAGCCTAATACTGTAACGCAATACCACCACCCACTTACCAATCAACTCAGTAATTAAAAAGTAATATTGCAGTCAGACGATATTAACTCACTCCAACTCTTGTTCGGAAGTTGTTACCTAAATTGTTCATGTTTTTATCCATACCATTTTTTCTAATTTAAAAACGTTTCTCATTTTACTTTACGTTTATACGTATGTAGTCGTACAATTTTCTATTATGATACTATTGATTTTTTCTTCACATACAATTACTTTGCTGTTAGTTAACCACACGCTAATGGCAATTCACACATCGATGTAAATAAGCGACATTTACATAAACTTCTTCATTTTCCCACTTAAACAGTTTCGAATTTTATTTACATTGCTAGAGCATACATATGTCAGTTAAATGGCTGTCAAAAATAGGCATAGCCTAATATATGTATATAAGCATTTATTATTGTGTAAGGCAGCAAGCCCAAACCAGAATTTCTTCCTTTATTTACTTAATGGATAGACCCAAGGCACATTAAACAGGTAGTATCAGTAGAGCAAAAACAACATTTGCGTGTATTTTGTTGTTGCTTCTGGTATCGAAAGTGTCAAAAACTGTTCTGAATTTTTTCTTCTAAATCAAAGCGTGCCATGTGAAATACAAAAAATTATAAAAAATAAAAAATTTAAATTGGAAAAAATATAAATTGATGCAACTTTCTTTCCTAGTAAATTTGTTTGCTTCTCGAAGCATTGATCCATCCTTTGCAAGGCCCAGTAATCAGCGGTCGTGCTGCTGAGTTGGGCGAACGTTCCAAAAGCTGCTATTCAATCGCTTGTTTTGTATGGAAAAAGGTTTCACATGCAAATGGATTTTAACAATTCAGAATTTTTGTGAGAAAAAATTAAAAATATTTGACATTTTCGAGACCAAATAATTTGAAAATAAATACTACCTGTTCAATGTACCTTGGATAGACCTGTTGAATTGACAATCTAAACGAACTGGATTTTATAGAACCAACAACCAAAACGGATTTTTTTGTCGTTGTGCGAGTAACGGCTTTACTGTAATTTATCCTTCCCCTTTTCCCTGAACAGAGAAGCGTGCAGCTTCATAGTTTTTAGTTAAAACAAGAACGCGTGATTTTTCGACAAGGCGATTTTTTAGAATCGTTAACTCTGTCTTAGGGAGTTATATAACGAATATAGTCTCAGTTTGGCTTCCTCAATATTAATGGGTGGCGGTCTCCCCAAAGAGATTTTGAGGAGTGTTGCTGGAGTGTCAGTCCTTGGCCAGATATAAATCTAGGTCGTTCCGGTTACGTAGACCCGACTGTCGTGGGAATTATGCATATGGCGGTCGACCTCGAAAACGCTGTTTTCTTTACATATGCTCAACTATGAAAGCAACTTTGTGTAGATTGTTCAGTGTTGCTTTATACCGTGCTTCGTCAAATAGAAGAAGAAGAGAGTATTTTTGTGTCTTTAGGCATCATTGCGACAAGAGACAGGACAGTTTGCTAGGTCAGTGACTTTTTGAATAAAAAACCGTTTTGGGGACAAACATCGTTTTATTTCCCTTTATATAATATTCTTCTCTTAGCTCGATACCATTCCGTTCTGTTTTTCCCTTCAAAATAATAAGCGTTTTTTTTTTTTGGTGAGGACCCTTTTATTCAACCCAAATCCCTTACCGACGCGTTATTTCTTCAAGTTTTGATCTGAAAAAAAAATAAAAAATCTGAACGGAATAACAGTTCATAGCTCTAGTTATAAACTACACACGAAATACACGGTTTTTGCGTTTAACTTCACCGATGGAGCACTTCATATTAAAGGTGTTAGTCCATTGGTTCTCATTGTCGTCGAATCCCCTCGACACCTCGCTTAAAATTATATTATTCCAAATCCGACGATTGACGATTATGATCAAGTAAATAGCCTGCGAAAAGAAAACCAAAGAGACTTGCAGACTCTAGATCCCCTCTGCACTTACATACTTACACTGATTTTAGCCCATTCAGAAATTAATAGTCTTGAAAACTATAACAACGGGTGGAAATCCCTGCCATTCATAGGACGGGAGGAGTTTGTGTAGGTGGTACCAGTATCCAGTGGTTCTAGTACTGGAGCTCGTGCTTCAGTTCGGTCGAGTCTGGTACAGTCTTCCGCAGTATCCAGACCTTAATTAGGCCAGAGCTACGTGAGTCTCGCGGCAGCAGAAGCTTTTTTGCGATGGGTGGTGGGCTCCGATTACGACGTTCATGAGTCGAAAGTTCTTGAAGTTGGGTGGTAATGGAATGAACAAAACACTTGCATTTAGAGGCAACCATATACTTATGAAGCCGTGAGAGCAGAAGCGGCCTAATCCCCATTTTCTTTGTACTTAAAATGTAATGCAATGGGGTATAGTCGTTGTGCTAGGTATGCAGTTACAGTTGCACGGCTATACTCAATCCCGACTCTTGCGTCCTCGTTCGCGCACTCTGGGCAACGTGAGCAACCCATGTGCGAGATACGGTAAGCAATCCGAGTGGAGCCTTGGGCCACAGCAGAAAGATATGGAGCTTTTTTGGGGCCACTCTGACTTATTCGGTTTAAGGGCTCACTGAAGTCTGCAGCGTCTGTTCACCAGTAGGTGCTACTGCAAGGGGGTGTCTGTCTTGGAGCAAGCGGCTCGCTATATAAGCGTGTATTCTGTTGCGAAACAACCCCCGTGCCAGCAGTGGGTCGTGCGCTGGGTTTGGGACCCTCCACGTAAAAACAGGCTCCAATGAAAAACGGCAAACGTTTAATGGACTACGATTTGACGGCATGCACCTGGAATGTGCGCACCCTTAATGGGGAAAGTGTTTCTGTCCGGCTGGTTGATGTCCTCGTAAGAACAAAATCTGAGCGCTTGGAGCGCACATACGAGCGTTTCCCCCGCCATGATATTAAAATCGTGCTTGGTGACTACAATGCCAGGGTGAGCAAGGAAGGGATCTTTGGAACCACCGTCGGAAAGTTCAGCCCCCACGGCAAAACGCCTGACAACGGACTGAGGCTGATCGACTACGCCGGGGCCCGAAACATGGCAGTATGCAGTACTAGGTTCAAGCATAAGAAGATCCATCAAGCTACGTGGCTGTCTCCGGATCGAAAAACGAGAAACCAAATCGATCATGTTGTGATAGACGTAAGGCATTCTTCCAGTGTATTGGACGTACGTACACTCCGAGGGCCGAACATCGACTCGGACCTTTCTCTTGTTACAGCCAAGATACGCACCCGCCTCTGCGCAGCAAAAAATGTGCGCCCGAAAATGCAAGGAAAGTTTAACGTCGAAAAGCTGCAGTCACAGCAGCTAATGCATTCGCTACTTGACTCTCCCACTTGCTCTCAGAGAGCACTCTTAAAAAAAACTGACATATGCGAGCACTGGAACCATATTTCCCGTTCATTAAGTACCGCCGCCGAAGAACTAGTCGGATTTCAGCGAGTCCAAAAGAACAACTGGTACGAAGAGGAGTGTCAAGAAGCTGCAGTGAAAAAGTTGCTGCCTACAGGGCCAGCGCGAGCAATTTTTATAGCGCGTGATGATTTTTGTCGGTTTTATGGTACAAACTCTAACTATACAAATTGTGTTTGATGAAAACCTGCGTGGGCTCCGGGGAAGACTTTCATCGAATTCGCTTGGCACTCAATGTGTTAATCATTAAATTTTATTTACATACATTTCCTTTATCCAACTCAACATTTAATCGTTGTTAGCGTTTCATACTCATCCAGAGCCATTTTATTGTAATTCAATTTTAGCCAACTATTTCTGTGTTTCCATTGAAATTAGTTATACATATATATATAATAGCGTGGGCCGAAAATCCGTTTTTTTAGAATTTTGATGCGTAATAGCAAAAATATGGTTAATTATGCTCTAAAAACAATCTGTGTGAAAGATGACAATTTTTGGTCAATATCTTAGGCTTGCCAAGGTCCATCAAAGTTCAAGTGCTAAAAAGTTTTTTATTAGCTTACTTCGATTCTCTACAAAAAAAAAGGTCCATATACCAAATTATGTAGGACTAATACTTTCGAAGATACTTGCAATTTTGGTAAAAAAATTTATTAATTAATTTTGATTTTTAGAGCATAGTGAACCAAATTTATGCTATTACGAATCAAAAATTCCAAAAAAGCGGATTTTCGGCCCACGCTAATACATAAATAGTTGCAATAATAGCATAGGCGTTTGAGTATGCGCATTGTTTTGTTTACTTGTAGCCACATGTTTGCAGCATTTGTAGCCTTTATATAGTATCTGCATAGCCACATTCTACCGTTATAATTTCTAGTTAAATAATACTTATCACTATGTATCTTCACATAAAAATAATAAAATCGTTTTCAACACGCACTATTCACATTGAATTGTTGTTGTGTGCCTTTAGTTTGTTGTTGTTGTTGTTGTTGTTGTTGTTGTTATTGTTGCTGACTGACGCAGTGCAGCGCAACAAAAAATGATTTTAGTTTAGTTTTTTGTGTTCCTAAACCACACTCTACAATCAAAATGCATATATAATTACTCCATATATGTATGTATGTACTGCCCTGAATGCTTGGCTCATTAATAATATACAAATTGTTTATGTAAATATTTCTTGCCACCTTTTTGGGAATGCAGCGCGTCCAACGTTCTTAAATCTGAATTTGAATTTCAATCAACGCAATCCGCCAACCAAGCGTAGGTGTTAACCAATGTCTTTATGCAAAAACAAAGATAAAAGCTGAATATGTCTTATGTTAAAATATAAATAAATGTTTATTTTTCTAACTAAAACTATTAAATTTTAACACATTTTCGTTTTAAGAATTTATCACTTACTTGCTAATTGGCATTTGTTTATTTATAATACAGCTTCACCGGCTACCAGCAAGCTACTGGGCATGCGCATGACCACGCTTCACGAAGAGCCACTGGGTGTTCATCGCGCGCTCGCCGAAGAGCCCGAAGACAGCTACAGCGATTCGGAGTATACCGCCGAGTATGAGCAGGAAAAGAACCAACAGAACAACTATCATACACGCTCACGGCTCACAGCCTCAAAAACAATGGACTCGTTCATGGATGTCAGCAATCATTCAAATAGCAGCTACTTGAGTTACACGTCCAGCGCCAATGCGAATATGAAGCATTTAACCGGCCTGGCAACGCCCAGCATGAGTTCGTCAACATCGAGCGGTTATGGATCGCAGGTAATTTGTAGGAATAACTTTTCTGCATCACTGCAAAAGGCACGAAAGGACACTTTTGGAAGTGCTATTTAATGACCCGTTTCTTAGCTCTCGAATGCACCACCATACTGAAATTCAAAGTGTGACATTTCGTTCTTACCACAGCACTGAAGGTGTTTCTTATTAATTTTTTGCGCCTATAAAATTTCCAAATTGTCATTTAGTGTCTTTTTTGATGTTGATGACGAACTTTCTTAGTTACGAGTATTTATTAGCAAAAAGATTTCAATGCCATTTATATTTTTTGCAGGCGGTATCGTGCAGCAATTTAACAAACGATGATATCGCTTCTATGCGTTCAATGAGCATTGATGAGACACCAGGTAAGTTGAAAATTAATTGACCGAATTACACCGGCACCAAGAAAAAAAATTTTCTGTACTTTTGATGAGACCCTCTTATCTTTTAGTATTTTGACGCGCTGCATCCAAATCCGTAGTCGGTTTTGGGTTAACACCCTTAAATTTGCGAGTAAATTTTCGCTATTTTTTTTTTTCAAATTACTCGAAGGCGTTAGGCGAAAATCGACAGCGGATTTGGATTTAGCGCGTCAAAATACATAAAGATAAGGCGCCTCATCACGAGAATAGACAAACTCTTTTGTGCCAGTGTTATCGAATAATAGCATATTTCCACCTCAATATTAACAGCAGTTAAAAGCTCTATTTCAAAAATCTTAAGCGTTTCCAGAGCACTGAATCCATTCGAAATGGAATGGTTTGCAAATTCGGAACTATTTATATTAGTTTGTTTGTGAAATTACATTAAGAAAGACCATTTCATACAAATCAGCGCGCAAAAGTCGAAAGATTCTGTGAATTAGCACTACATGACCTTGTTATTAAGAGAGAAGTGGGATCAGAAGCAAAGGAATATATAACAGGGGTATTCGCTGATTTTGTGGGCGCTTTAGACAGACGACATGAAGCAAAGAAAGAAAGTAAAAGATAGATACAGCGTTGCTGCAGTGACAGTCCTTGGAAAGATATAAATCTGAGTCGTTACGGTTACGTGGACGCGACAGTCTTGGGTACGTTATCTAGAAGATTGCTGACTGTGGCGATGGTAGGTGGCCTTTATCTCATAGCAGAGATTGAAGGAGGGTGCACTAAGAGCTGTCTTCACGCGCCACTTTTGTGGTGCTTGGTAGCGGGTTAGTAGGTAATGCGAGCCAAAATATATTTTAACTTTAGCCTCGTGAAGGCTCCAAAGCTTAATTGAGAGTAATTCCACCTCATCGCCCTCCTATCGGCTATGATATCTGCGGTCAGAGCTGCGGCTTTGTAAGCGAAATAAGCTCTAACGACTCCCACTGCCGGTTCTACGTACCGGAATGACTCGGGTTTTACCCGACCAAGGGCTGTTGTTTCGGCGATCTAACCCCGTTTACACGTTACACGTACAGCAGGAGGCCCGCAGGCAACACAACTCTTTAACACCACACATCACAATCGGCCTCCCAAGGCACACAAAGGTGCTACAATTTAACTGTAACGGACTCCAGAGCAAAATCGAGGAGATAACTGTCTTTATGGGAAGGCATGGATTATTAATAGCTGCGGTCCAAGAGACGAAGTTGCATGGCCATTGAACCCTGTTGAATTGCGCCGGATACAACGTATACCGTCGAGATCGCGAGTGAGATAATGGTGGAGGTTTAGCGTTCATCACGCACCACATCGTGCAGTATCGTCTTATTGAAGCAGACATCGACCGCAGGGATACCATCCTAGAATGTCAGGGTATTGCTATCCGGTCAGGCGTTGTTGAGCTCGAAATATTTAACGTATACGTACCCCCTGTCACCAGCTGCCCGGCAGGATATCACCCTGAAATAGCTTCACGAATGTTACTGAGGGCGCCTTCACTGCACTACCCATACCAACCGACATTCATGTAGGTGAACGTAAGTTCCGCAGGGTTGTCACCGCTGCTGCAGCTCGCTTCACCAGAGCAGAATGTATTAAGGATCCACGTCCGAACTTTCCTGCTTAAGCGGCTGTTCTAGCCGATGAGCGCGACAACCTTCGTCAGGCCGATACCGGATATCCCCGTATCAGGGTACTGAATGCGGAGATTCAGCAACTTGTGAACGTACATAAGCGGAAGAATTGGGAAGACCATTTGAAGACCTGCAACTTCGCCTCTGGTGTGAGCAAACTTTGGTCAACCGTGGGGTCATTGTCCAACCCGACGAAGCGTGACGACAGAGTCGAGATAGACTTAGGTGACCACGCTTCGTCGGACCCGGGGCGATGCGCGAGCTATTTTGGCCGGCAGTTCATTCTGCATCCTCCGGTGGATAAAACCAAACGTCGAATGACTAGAAGGCTGCACAAAATGCCAAATCCCAGTGCGCCTCTTGTTTTCACCAGCGGTGAGGTAAGGGTAGCCATCGGGAAGGCGAAAGCCTCCAAAGCCATTGAACCCGACGGAATATGCATGTTGATGCTGAAATATTTGGGTACTGCGGGAGTAGCATACCTAACGGAGGTCCTCAACCTGTCTATGGCCACTCTCGTCATTCCAGACATCTGGAAAATGGGGAGAGTGGTCCCACAGCTCAAGCCGGGGAAACCAGCCAACAAAGGAGAGTCTTATCGCCCGTTAACCCTCCTTTTCCCGGTAGCGAAGACACTCGAGGCCCTGCTGCTCCCGTATTTTACGAACCACCTGACCCCAGCGAAGCATCAGCATGGGTTCCGTAAATTGCATAGCGCAACAAGAGCACTTAACGCCATAAACACTCAGATAACTCGGGGCCTGAACCGAAACCGCCCCTGTGAGAGAACTATTCTAGTAGCGTTGGACCTGTCCAAGGCGTTCGACACTGTCAGTCATTCAACGCTACTAGAAGATATAGAGGCCCCCTCACTCTTTCTCGCTTCTTCACTGCAAGGAGCCTTGCCCTATCCCCTGCGAAATCCTCGGCAACCCTTTTCACCACCTGGACGAAGGAGGTCAGACTGCAACTGGGTATTCACGTCGTTGGCGTAACAATACCGACGGTGAATAACCTGAAAATCCTCGGGAGTTACCTTCGACAGTCTGCTCTCCTTCTCGGCGCATACAACCGCAATTGTCAACAAAGTACAGAGCCGCAACAATGTCCTCAAGTCGCTGGCCGGCAGCACTTGGAGCAAAGATAAAGAAACGTTGTTGGCAACATACAAGGCAATTGGCCGGGCCGGTTCTAAACTATGCAGCGCCCTTATGGTCGCCGGGGACTAGCAGGACGCAGTGGATGAAGCTACAGACCTGCCAAAACACGGCATTACGAACAGCGACAGGATGCCTTCTGATGACGCCCCAACACCACCTACATGACGAGGCCCAGATGCTCCCAGTAAAGGAGCATAATATAATGCTCTGTAAGCAGTTCCTTGCTGGGAGCCACAGACGTGGCCATCCCAGCGGACAGCTGCTCGCGGAAGAGCCCTCGCCAAGACACGTCAGGAGGCATCTTTACGAACTGCCCAACTTCGCTCTGGCTATTGCAGCAGGCAAAACTCTTATGTGAGTAGAATCAACGAGGATGTGCCCAACCGATGCCCGGCATGTGGAGAGTCGCCACATGACTCCCGGCACCTCTTCACATGCCCTGAGAACCGCACTCAGCTAACGCCCCTGTCCCTATGTACAGCCCCTGTGGAAGTCGCACACTTCCTGGGCCTCCCCCTAGCTGAAATTGACGACAACGTTGATGGATGAACCGCCTCGAACGGGGCTTAGCAGCCGCTACAACAACAACAACAACAATCACCCGCAATCCATTCTAGGCCAAGAAGCCTAAGTTTAATGTTGATAGAGTGGTCTTAGCAGAAATACTCTCTATCAACCGTGCTATCAAGTTTCGCCCTATCCGTTTAAAAACTTCATTACTTTCTTCATTTAGTCATCCCGCCACATTCAATCGCAGTACTCTGTGTAATTAGGGATTAAAGCGAAACTTTCCACAACTCTGTAGTGTCCAGTCTTCGAGCTTGCTAACCGCTGCACTATCGGCAAGCACTATGTTCAGCATAGCACATAACTTCAATGTTGTAGTGGTTCTTAGTTCCCCACTAATGCCGATTACGGCAGACCGTGGTCTAGCTGTTAAGCTAGTGCAGCTGTGTTTAGTGAATTCCACCAGACAAAGGAGCTCTGTAAAACATAATAACTAAGGGATCGTAGAACCAATAAAATTCTTGGGGCGAGAGAAGAAATGTTGTATCGGCACTTGAGGGTAACTTTAGATTCAATCGGTGAACTTTTCAATACTTAAACGTGCAGTCTTCTAACTGTAGCATTAAATCAGTTACTTATTACATTACATTTTGTTTAAATTTAATTTTTATCCTTACCTTTTATTCTTTTAATTTTTAGACTTTAATTCAAATTCACCACCTAACCGCCAGGCGCGATTCAATCCTTTCCTAAAAGACATGCCCAAATCAAATGGCGCTAAACAACAGCAAGCTCAATCAACGACAGCACATTCGGCGTTTAATGAAAATCAAAACGAAACGCCGCACAAGCAATCAAAATCAGCACCAGAAACCATAGCAGACACACAATCAGCTACCGAAATCATTGCAACATTCAATGACAATGACGCCAACAACACAAAAGCAAAGCTGCCAAACACTTTACCAAAAGCACAATATACCGCTGCCAATGTCGTTGCCAATGCCGACGCAAACACCAGCATCGCAGATGTCAGCGATTACATGGCAAATACCATAAACGATGATGATGTTGTTAAAATTAAAAACAACAATAACTGCGAAGCAACAACTACAGCAGCTATGTTGAATAGTAATCACAATAATAGTGAGAACAACAAAAATACAACAGCAAAAATAATTAGTAACAACATTGCTACAGACAATCAAAATGGCAATGAAATGCTGAACACTGCACCTGCGTTGTTGGCGGAGGCTGAACAACAGCCGTTAGAGGGTAATGGCATTGTACGCGGTCAGCTTCCGGTTGGAAAAGTTGTACGTCGTAAAAAGACACCGCCACAAGGTGGCGTCATTGTTATGTCCAGTAGTGTTACAAGCACGAACAACAATGGCGGTATGTCGCGTTCACAATTACAGCGCGCTTCGGTGGCACAAATGGAGGGCATAATGACGGCATCCAACGATCGGCTGGATGTGTCGATGACAGGCAGCATGGAACTGGATGCAGGTATGTGAAAGAGTTTTGGTTTTGGCGGGATAAAATTTCACTATGTTAATTAAGAACAAGACGCGATATTAATTCGTGCGAGCGTACTCGTTTTATCATCAGTTATGATATTTATGATATGATAATGTAGAACAAAAGAACAACTACGATTAGGAAACAAAATGGATAATGACATCGAATCACATACGTATCACGAACATATCTACATACGTATATTCAGTGACTGTAAATAATAGATACTTTTATAGATTTTGAAAGCAATATGGTCAGATTCGGTTCTGCCCACCAAAATTCTGCAGAAATGTATGTTCGTGTTTCTCACAAATCGAGTAAATTTTCCGAATTCAAGTGTAAGTGGAATGAAATGTGGTAATAGCAGAAAAATTAAGATCCCATCACACGTTTTTGGCTCGAAATCGATTTGAGAAGATTTGCAGAAATCAGAGAAGGGCCGTACCAAAAAATCGATTCATTAAAAATAACGATAATTTTACTAGAAATTTTTGCTTTACATATATTATAAAATGGATACTCAGTACGGATATTCGTGTATACAGTAAAAATCCGGATATCCGGTAAATAATATCCGTTGATTTGTTTATATATACAAACAAAATGTCCGGTTTTTGCTCTAAAGTGGACATTCGGTGCGATCTCTGGATGTAATGATTACGAAAAATATGTACATCGATAACATACCTAGATATATTTAAACCCTCTCAATAATGAGTAATCCATTACAAAGATCGATAAAAATGTCGATAAATGTATCGATGCGTTGATTAGGCTCTTTCATTTTATGTATAAAACTTACGATGAGTAAAATATATCGATAATTATCTACATATCGTCGTTTAAAGTACAAAACCGCGTATCAACAAAATGCAAAACCGCGTATGTGAGGTTGCATAAATTATTTTCTGAAGAGTAAAAACTCTCATATTTCAAAATGGTTCTCTTATTCTATAAAGTAATCGCATTTCTAGCTAGTATATTTCAGGACGAATGGATAAGGGTTGCGCCAAGAGTTTGTGTGAGCAAATCCAATTTTTGGCAGCAAAAGTCAGTTACGCGGTTTTGCAGAATGACGATACACGGTTTTGTACTTTAAACAGCGATATGTATGTATTAATAAATTGATAAATATCGATAATTAAATAAATATATTGATAACTTTATATATCGATAAATTTATCGGTAAGTTTCCTAAAAATAGTTTAATAGCATAAAATATATAAGCAAATCGATAAATATTTAGCTACAAATATCGATAAGTAATTCAATATAAATATCGCTAACGAATATTGTATTTGATAAAGAAACGCCTAATTAGAAAAGTATAAAAATGAAGCATTGCGAATGCCAAGTTCACTCATATCCTATTTTTATATATAATTTTCTATTAAAATATATTTTGTTATTTATTAAAAAGTTAACATCTAACTAAATTCGAATTTCACAGAAATCGAAGCTTCGCTACCCGATTGGGTGCTGGTTGGTGAGTCAGTGCTAATACGCCCCTACAACACAAGTGGAGTAATTAGCTACATTGGTACCACACATTTCCAAGCGGGCACTTGGATTGGCGTCGAACTGGACACCCCGACAGGCAAGAACGACGGCACCGTACAAGGCATACAGTATTTCCAATGCAAACCCAAACATGGTATATTTGTGCGCTACGACAAGTTGATATTGGATAAGCGCGGCAAAGCAATGCGGGCCTATAAAGCTGAGAAAATTAATAGCAAAGGTAAGAAGGCATGAAAATTATTTTACTGAATAAGAAAAATAAAAATAAAAGCAAAAAAAAAACATTATAAAAACAATTGTCTTATCCATGTTTCATTACGCCGCAGAATCGTCTATGACGCGCTCAAAGAGTCGTGGTGAATCTTTGTCCAGCGTCGGTGGCGCAACGTCGTCACGCAAATGATTATATCCAAAATGTTCGCATCAAATGCACCGCTGGGCTAATTGCAAGCAATCCACATTGGTGACAGCAGCAACTGCAACTGCAAACGCAACAACAACAACAACAAGCACTTCAACTGCAGCAAATGTAAGAGGCGCTGCTGCACCAACGCGCACATGCACCAAATTGCGTGCAACCAGCACAGCAGCCGCAGGAGATGTCACAACGGTGAGAGCTACGGCTCAAGTCACCGGCATCGATGCGAACACGAGACGTTTTAAACGACGCTCAACAGCATTTTAAATGCAACGCAGCCGAAAACAAAGCAAGCAAAAAACAAAATTGCCACATAGCAGCATTGAAATGCCAACTGGATGTGAATGTTGCGTTGTTGAAATGCCGCGCGTAGCGTATATGTTAAACGTTCCCGAAAGTGAATGATTTACAAAAGCAAAAAACTAATGATTGATTTAATGAACGAACAAACGAAATGCAATTATAAACAAACATATATACACACATACATACATACATATTAAAAATATGTATTTGGAAATATGCTAAATAATCTAAAATGTGTAATTATAATGGTTAGTTTACACTCGATGTGCAACTCTCGATGTGTCCCCTTAAATTACAAAATATCGAAATTTATTGTATGCAAAAAAAAACACGTTCCACACATTCCCAAACTCCGCCCAGCCCCATTCCATCCAAAAACTCGCCAGATTCGTTAGAACGTGTTGCGCGTTGAACGAGCTGTCTTGGACAGTTAAAGCAGTTAAGAGAAATTATGCAATTAAATTCGATGTGTTAAAATGTGAAATTTGTAGATGGAAAATGCAATATCCAATTGGTAGTTTGTAGTACGCTTAACAATTTAAGTTTTTAGTGTGTATATGAAAGTGTTAAAGGCGCGCATTTTTTTTATCCTTTTTAGGAAAGGCTTTTGCATGTCGTTGAGCATTAAAATAACGAAAGGAACATTAGCACTGGTTGTGGAAGTTGTTTAAGTGTTTATTTTTTAATGAATGGTTGCATTGATTAGTGATAATTTGGTAAGTCGTGCACGTATATGCGCTTTTCAAAAAAATTTGTTTTGTCTTAAACGCAGTCTGCATTGTTTTATGGGTTTCCCTGCATTCCAAAATGTAAAAATACAAAGCATTAGTCATTTTCATTTGTGAACCACTGAACACGCCTGAATGCTAGTTACAAGTAAGGCTGCGCTAGCTGGGCATTTTAATCTGTAATGCTTTAGCAATAAAAATAAGGCTGTTGACCTAAATACTAGAATTGTTAAAGTCCGATGTTATGCAGACGGTCAAATAATCCTGGTCACGTTACTTTTACGCTAAATTTTTTCATCTCTGCGCTCTTTGATCAATGGTTGATCGTATATCAAATGAGCAGCAATCTCTGATGTACTATTTAAAAACCTTTATTACTGTTTTCGGTACCATATGGGATACTACTGTCATTGCTGACATGTAATGGAGAAAACAAAATATTACAAAAAAGGATTGATTTTCAATAAAACAAGAATCCGACGTGTCCGGCAAGTTTGTGGATTTTATGTTGAAATGCAAAACTTTGTCTTACCGCTACTTTTTTGTGCAACGCAAAGTTCAAAAAAGCGAGGCAACCGTTTGTATTAACAAGCATTTTTTACGCAAAAAACACAACTGACCCTTTGAACTATGTGGTGGGGTAATACTCAACTAATCCAGGTTCAATCGGAGATGAAATGAAACACTACGCTTCATTAAAGAAACTCTAGAGCGACGGAGGCGGTGAGCAGCGCTGACTGGTGTCGTTAAGAGTTTTTGCTGGAGTGGCACGTCATTGGCCAGATGATAAGTCTGGGTAGTTCCGGTTACGTAGACCCGACTGTCGGGGGAACCTCTCATAGGTGATCGTAACTGATGTCGGTCCCGATATACGGCCAATGAATGGTTCGGACAATAGTTTTTGACTGCGGTGCGAGTTGGTAGATAAACTTGCCTCCAGACAATGGTAACGGGACGGTGAATGTCGCATTGGAGACCTACGAAGAGTGCACTTGGTCGAATGTCGTCTCCATAGTCGCACACTATGATAGTAGGTAAGTGCTGGAAGGGATGGCGGCAGGTACCAGCTATTTCCGATCATGCTGAGCGGTAGAGAGTTGCGCAGAGCAATGGCTCATACACAAGGCTACTTCTGCAACCTTTGTTGCGTTCTATCCCATTAAAGCCTTAATAACTAATTGGGTAAAACAAAAAGTATCACCGTTAAAATTTTTCCATTCTACTCCTAAACGGAACATGTAGTGTTAAACGTTTTCCATTTTGCCCGTAAAAGGAGCCAATAGCAAAATAAATCTACAATTGAGTTTTTTTTACGAGTGATTCGGTGTCTGCCGGCTATTAATTTATTAACCGATTTGCCATAGCGCACGGTTCTCCCTAATAATTTGTGTTCTTAATTGAAACAATAACAACTGCCGACCAATCTAGCCCATGGCCGTCTGCAATGCATTATATATTTTTGTAATTAACTTCCCAGACAAATTTCAGAGTCGTCTTTTATCTCATGGACTACACTTTTGAAGAATCTGTATATGATGGAAACCAAAGTTGATTGCACTGAACGTCCAAATTGAAACACATATCCAGCATGAGCGTTACGTGTTTTCCGTACAAAAAAAAAAAAACAACTTAGCAAACGACCAGTACACTCATAGATATATGTATGTCTATTGAGTTAGATATAAAAATGAGAACTCTACTTTCACTTTTGCGCTTAAATTTTCTTTGAAATATCAAAAACAGGGGTGAGTCTGCTCCTTTCTATTGTTGTCAGCTTTATAGTACGAGCTATTATTTATCCTAAGCATATATTTGTTTTGAACAATTTTAATTAGTCAACCAAACTAGAGTACTTTCAAAGTTGACCTTTATTTAAAGTCACTGATGAGACGTTACAGCCGCAATTACCCACCGCCATTGCGCTGTGTTTGCGCTGCATTAAGTATTGATTTTAGCTACAAATTTCCAATCACTTACGAGATAGCCCTATAGGCTTTTATTAAACTTGGTATTAGATTTTAATATTTTTTTTTTTTAATAATCACCCAAACATACAATTCACCTTTTCAAAGTGCTGTAAATGTTTTGTTTCGTTGCAATATATTTAAGTAAAAACAAATAAGTATGTATGTGATTTATTAAATACAAAGCTGTACACGGATGCATGCGTGCAGATGTTTTACCCTGGCGTGTGCGCAAACTGCCGTCGTATTTTTATTTACATATACATATGTATGTAGTTGCAGTTGCAATTGCACCCTCAAGTATTTATTGCGCAAATGCTTTCAAAAAAGTATGCAGCGCGTTGCAATTATTTTTTTATTATTATTGAAAAAAATGTTAGGTAGCATATTTTAAGTGATTCCCTTTTTTGGTTCTAAGTAACTTTGCAATTTTCATCATTAATTCACTCGCTTGTAATGCCACAAAGTTAGCCAGGCGTTGCATAAACATCCATAACAGTATGTCTGTATGTTAACGCGTTAAGCGATGCATATGCAACGCCTTAAATTTAGTTAGCGTTATGTTTTAAACAATTTTAAATAATGTGTATGTATATTGTTAAAACTTATATTCATGCTAATTTAATTTCTATTAATATTAAATAGATTTTATTTAAATAAAAAAGTTTTATAAGTAAATTGTACATGTATCTACTATATTCTACTAGCTATTGTTCTTTTGATGTTATTTTAAAAGTTTTAATTTAAATTTTATCTTTTATAAATTCACTATAAAATGTACATTTTCTTCTGCTTAATAGTTTATGTAGCCTTATTTTACATTATACAAATATATACACCTATAAATTAGCGCATTTATACATATACCTAATATATGTATATACCCATATGTATATAAAATGTCCTAAGCGTATGTCTACAAAGCTTAAATATTCCAAATGTGTAATGTATGAACAATAATCAAAAATTAATTAAAATAGTTTAAACGAAGCATGCAACTATACGCGTAAACGAACTAATTTAATGTGATGTATTTCTTAATTTGCCTTTAATTTTTGCAAAATAAAATATACATGAAATATTTAAAATATGTATGATTCTTTTGTATTGTTATTTGTATAATTTTTTGTTTTCTTGTTTGCTATATTTGGTTTCATTCAAATTTTGTTATTTTCATTAGAATTCCTTAATAAAATAATCTGGTGGCATTTTCATAAACAACTAAGTGACGTAAGTTAGAAGGGTTGAATTTGGATTAAAAAAGAATAAGCTGCCCTAAACCAATTTAATATTTTTAACAAGCTTCTAATGACATAATCGTTAAAATGCCACAAAAATCTTGGCACTGCTAGCCAGCAATTTCGTGGCTTCGCAGAGAGCATGGAGGCCTAAAATTTTAGAGGGAAAACTATGACCAAATTAGAGGCTAATACCTGGAACTAGCAGCAACGTTGAAGAGGTTCGCAGTCCTCTTAGCAAAGTTAAACCAAAAAAATAATTGCAGTTGTCTCCAGAATTGGTGGAAGCCCACGAGAGTCTTTCATAGACATGGAAATGATTGCAGCTGAGGAAGAACTGTTTGCAAATAGGATTACATATAAAATGAAAAATAAAAAGTACATATGTATATAGAGGTGGTAATGTAGTTTTAAAGAAAATTAAGTGCCCGAGAAAGTGATTGTTTGAGAGCGAAGCTCTGGGTAAACATAATTCATGCACAGTAGATGCGCGGAAAACGGCTTTAACTGAACTTGCTTGTTGTAGCTTACCCTGACGTTAACCTAGAGGAAGACTATTGCATTAACTAACATTAACAAACAGCTTTTGCATAGAATTGCGAGCCAAGAAGGCTAAGAAAAAAGAAAGCATAGAAAGCAAAAAAAAAATCAATGGATCAACATAGAATATGTAGTAGAGAAGAAACAACACGTTTCTTTGAACTAATAACAACGTGCTGCGGTTTTAAAATTTCGAAAAATATTTAACAAAATTATTAGATAAATTATAAGGAGCAAAAACTGAAAAAAAAAACTAAAATGAATGTCGGAGAGAAATAAAGTTAAGTTGAAGGAACTATGCCGTATATTTGAGCGAAAATGCCACCATAAAAAGATAAGGAGTAACAAAATTTCATTTACAGCAAATTACATTAAAGCAAGTTCTTCGATGTACATAAGTACCCGTAATATTCCAGCAATGCAATTCAAACCGAACCAAAGAAAATTTACCAAACTATCAAAAAACATTTTTTGAACAAAGAAAGCCAAATGGTATCTTTTCACATAAAGCTCAGACTTAACAACTATAAACATACAAACACCCAATATACATACACACCTATGTACATACACATGTATGTCTCCAGAATTGGCGGAAGCCCACAGACTACATACAGACTTACATAAAATATTTGTGTATAAAAGTGTATGTTCTAAAAAATATAAAAAAACGATTGCTTCTACATATATACATACATACATATTTATGTACATGAACATGTGAAGTAACAAATTACATATGTACATATGTAAACAACCAAGAAATATTAAATAACAAAAACTCTTGTATCCTTGCCAGTCCTTTGACAATGACCAATCGACAGACAATATTAAATTATAATTTTTTCTTAAAAATATATACATAAATATGTCCTACTTTTGACTTAAAAGACCTGAATGGCACACTCACACTCACACACATAACTTATACCTACTACATACTCATATAAATACATACATACAAATAAAAAAAAAACATACATTTTACTACAAGAACACGCATCAATTAAATATTTGACTATGAAAATAATACCTATGTAGATAATTTATACATACATATACACAAATGTCCATCCAAATGAACTTCGTATCATGTCTGAGATAAGTATGTAATTATTAAACAATAAAATATACATCCCAAAAACACACCCTCCATACATACACCCCCTACATAAATTCATGCTTATACCCAGCCAGCAAAGAAACGTAAATTTTTTCGACAGTGCAGTTTAGTTCAACTTTCCGTGTCCGAAAACGAATAGAAAAGCTCCTACAGTTATTATCAATTTTCGTATTCGGAAAAAGTTCGTCATTTGAAAGCAATAATTGTATTTTATTTGCTCAAGCTAAGCATTTGAAAGCATGTATGCGTAGTTGGCAGTGGCTGAGCGTGCAGATGAGTATGCCGCCATTTGTTAACTTCCAGAAGGTGCCGAATTCCGTCAGGCGCTTCCTAATTTTATTTAATTTCTTTTAAATAATGAAAAAGTATCTGTGAAGTGCAGAAGGAAAGCGTATTGAACGCAAAATTCAATCAGATAAATTTCAGAAAAAACAGCCGAAAACATATCCGTTTCACATACTGTTGCACACTTTAGTGGGAAAACGCATCGTCAAAGTATCCGGAAATGGAATCAGTAAGCTGACAAAAATACGCACTTCATCCACTTTTTTGTCTCCTTCCGGATCGGTTTCGGATCTTTTGCTGGCTGGGTAGGCATAGGTATATTAGAAAGCTTAAAAAAGTAGAGGTTGTTAAAAAAAAACAAATTTTGTATTATTAGGTACCCAATTCACTACATTCATGTTTTAAAATGTTTGCTGATTGAGCTTTTAAAAGCTCATTGTTAAACGCTATATCCGTAAAAACTGATTTTTCATGAAAGCCATACTTGAAAGCTCTTTCTACCAGCGTGAAAGCTGAAAGGTCTTCAAAGGGTTAAGGAAAACAAACAAACACACACACAAGGTCAATGACCTAAAAAATATCTCATTTAGAGTCAACGTTTCATAGGAGCTAAATCAATACAAACTTAATGATTTTCGCTATTGTTGCCATGTGGTGAATATTTATTATTCCGCCGGTCTCGCAAATGTATTGCTCTGACATTGTATTCAGTCCCGTATGGATCTTCTAGGCCCTCTTTCTCTACGAGCAGCTGATTGCCCCTTGACTGCAAATCTCCCCAAAATGAAATTCATTTATCTGCCAATGAAAGCTATTTTTCCTTCATTATAAACCTGTAGCTTTTTAAGTACTTCGAAAGCTTTCACGCTTTAAATATAAATCTGGCAAAATCATCATCAATTTGTTTAATTTATTTTAATTTTTCCAACCAAAATACTTCATCGTTGTAAGATAACAAAGCATTCGCCCATAAAATTGCTCACAACAAAAACAGTGCAACTATTGCATGTCAAATACAAGTTTACAAAGAACATACATACGTACTTTATGAAGAAATTAAAGTTATTATACTTACATAGAATACAGGAAGAATTGCATGAGACACCGTTATGATATAGAAAAAAATACGTAGTCTAAGAAAATATGCCACAAATTCTACACACATACATACATACATACGCATTTGAATCTTTCACTACAAGAACCACTACAAAGTTTATGCAAAAAAAAAACAAAATATATTTGTTACGTCTAAATACGTAAAATTATGCGAGTACGCCAATAACTTACATAGTTATGTAAGTATTTGTAAAATAAAATCATCAAATTTAACGGGCCAAAGGCAATGCAACAAAAGACATTTATGTATGTAGAATGTAAAACAAAAAACCAAAACAATTAAACAAATCTCATACAACTGCAAACAAAACGTCCAAATTTACGAAAAGCAAATGTAAACAA